CTGAACTTTTCTCTAAAGAAAGATATATATAAATTTAAATAAAACTATATATGTTGTCTATATTCTTAAGTTTTGTTGTTATGGAGTTTGATTTAATTAGGGGTGTGTTCAGTTCTTGCGGTTCGGTTTTGATCTAAAACCAAATATAGGATCAAAGTAAAAAGTTCGGTTTGGTTTCGGTTCGGTTCTACATTTCAAAACTTGGAACCACAGCTTAATTGGTTTGGTTTGTTTCGGGTTTTTCGGTTTTTTACCAAAAAAAATATCATTTGATTTAAAATTGATATAATACTTTGAGGGATCAAACATATATTACATAAAGAATGCAAGCACACTACAACAAATAAAATAAAACTGAAAATAAATAAATATGTCATGAATTATATGAGTATGCGAGAGAGGTAAAAGTATATATTGTTAATTTACATTGTTTGTGACTAGTTCAAAAAAAGTTCACGAGTATATACGTTATATGTGATATAGTTGAGATAAATATTTATTGTTTCATCAATACGAATTTTTTAAGTTAAATAAAAATAAAAGTTAATTAATACTAATAACAAGTAAAAACATATTATCAGTATAGCTACATTATTACGTGCAATGAATGTGTAAATGAATTCACAAACTAAACTAAACTAAACATAACAAACATTATTTCTCTAGCACAAGAAAATCAAAAACTATTAATGATAGTAGGATTAGTTAGGATTAATGTTTAACAATGGACAAATAAATTTTACTCCGTATATTTTAACTAGTTCAGTTTGTTCGGTTCGGTTTTGAAGGGTAAAAACCAAAACCAAACCAAACAACTACGGTTCGGTTCGGTTTTTTACATTCAGTTTCGGTTTGTTAGCGGTTCGGTTTTATTTGGCTACGGTTCGGTATGATTTGATTCGGTTTTCGATTTTTCGATTTTTCGGACCCAGCCCTAGATTTAATATTTATTAAATAATGAAAGTAAGTGATTAGTTATCATATAGTCCGTAATAGTGTAATGAATCTATTATTCATGCATGTATGTTTGTGAACATATATACTACTTAGGGTTGGACCCGGGCCGGGCCTAGGCCCGGTCGGGCCGGCGGTTCTATATAGCTGGACCCGGGACCGGCCCGGGTAGCCACCGGGTCCGGGCCGGGCCGGACCTCGGATTTGGTTAATTTTTTTTTTTGCTTAGCTACCCATCCCTGACCCCCCCCTCACCCCCACCCCCAAACCCCTCCTAAACATCAAGCCTAACCCGGTGGAGCCCAAACAAATGAAAAAAACCAAAAAAAAAAAAAAAAATTGGCCCGAACCGGGCCCGGGCCGGGCCTTGTTATGGGTGACCCGAGCCCGGACCGGAAACCCACCGGGTCGGGCCTACCCGGACCGGTCACTGACCGGGCCACCGGTTCGGGCCGGGCCGGAACAGTACCGGTCCCGAGCCGGTTCCGGGTCGGGCCACCCGGCCCGAGTCCAACCCTAATACTACTACCTCCGTCCCAAACAATGATTATTAGCCAAATATATCTCCAACTATCATCAAATTCACAAATTTATCCCGAACTTTGACTTTTATTAAAAAAAGACTCAAATTTTAACTTTCCTCACAATTGCACTTTCAAGTTTCAATTGATGAATTAGTAAAACTTAACAAAAAGATCATATTTATATTTCACATTTTTTCACTTCTTTCTACTTTTAAGTTTACAATTTGTATTGCTTATATTTTATTGGTATTGATAAAAATGTTTAATTTTGAAAAAACAAAAAAGAAAAGTATAATAATTGTTGAAAAGCATGAAGTTTGAGTCTTTTTTTGATAAAAGTGAAAGAATAAGATATATTTGTGAATTTGATGATAGTTTGGGATAGGGGTGGACTCGGGTCCGGGCCGGGTCCGGGTCGGGCCTAGGCCCGGGTGGGCCGGCGGTTCAAGAATGGTGGACCCGGGACCGGCCCGGGTAGCCACCGGGTCCGAGCCGGGCCGGGCCTCCGGTTTGGATTTTTTTTTTTTGCTTTCCTAATCCCCCCCCTCACCCCCACCCTCCCAAACCCCCCCAAACCCATCCTACCCATCAAGCCCAACCCGGGTGGAACCCCAAAAATGAAAAAAAAAATAAAAAAAAATCAATTTGGCCCGGGCCCGGGCCCAACCCGGTCGGGCCGGTTCACCAAAATTGAGACCCGAGCCCGGACCTGCCCTACCCCCGGGCCTAGGCCCGACCCGGACCCGGACCCAGACCCGAGAACCGGGCCGGTCCCAGTCCCGCAGAGTAGCGGGCCGGGCCGGTCCACGGGCCGGGCCGGTCCACGGGCCGGGTGGCCCGACCCGAGTCCAAGAATTTATTTGATTGTCTTTTCGATTAAATTTTTAACTGAAATCCTTCAAACTAAACTTGTTTATATATATGCAAAGCTCAAAAAAATTCATCAAAAAATTCGATCAGGAAGTGCCCGAAATGCCCTCGATTGAACGGCGGATTCCGTCAGGCCAGCTGGACAGAACGGGGCTCTTATTTATATATCTCCAATTAGTTCGAACACCTTTTAGTTTAGAACATTGTCCATGGTATATTATTGCATTGAAGTTCGTTTATATTCACTATATGCAGAGTATATTAGTATAATTGTAATTATTTTTCAAATTTTTGTAAGAATGTATATACCTTTACCATAAGTCATAGTGAAAAATCAGATAACCTCAGGCTTTGAAGGAATGGACCATAGCACTATGATAGGCTTTGAATATGTTCACTATAAAGCATGTTGGTTTGGTTAATGATGGATATTTCGGCTCATGAAGTCATTACCGTCAACGGTATGAGTGCATTGAAGTGCTCCATACTTTTTAAATAGATGAAGGCAGGTAATAGGGAACCTAAGTGAGATGGGGGGAGGGGGGTATCACAAGAAGCAAATCCAAACTTTGATTTTTAATTTAAAAATAGAGGGAAAGTTGAACCGAAGTTATTGAAGAAATTATCAAGTTCAGTACAAGTATTTAGGAACGATAACACAGGACACTGCCATTAAACAACCACCACATATAATGTCAAGAAAAAAAAACATCTTCAAGAGATATACATGACCACCACCAAATGGAACAGACCAGGTTTGGCAGCTCAAGAGTTTGAATTGACCTATCTCAAAACAACGAAGTCTGATTTATGGTCATTGAAATACAGACCTTTGCTGTTGGAAGCATAAATAGCATTCTCTCAAGGGAAAACCTCTACTCCACTTCTTGAAGATAGTCCTCAATTTCAGCTGGCGTAAGAACTCTGCAAGGAAGCCAACATGTACTCACGCATTAAAGGAAAGGTCATGTACATGCTAACGCTCTTATATCCACTTTCAGTGAAGCTAAGAAACTTGCCTGAACACTTTGTCAGCGCCAATTATTCCAATCTCAATGTTTTTACCAGAAATTTGTCCTTCAAACCTAAGAACCCATGCAAAACAAGGCCACTGTTATTTTATTTATTTTTTGAAAGAAAAAACAAACATTAAGCGAAATCCCGGATTTAGACTAATGTTAGCCTGATAGGTACACAACTTTACTGTGCACAACTGCACACTTGATTACTGAAGCCTTGTCCATAAAAAATTGGACAGTACATTTGAACGGTTAAATGTCTGGAAACATTATTAACTCTTAAGCATGAAGGAAAAAATCACTGTGTTGATATTTACCCCTCCTTAAGTGTCAGAATAGCAGTGTGTACAGCATCATCAAGTTCCATATCTTCTGTATACCTAGCACATGAAAAAACAATCATGAGGACAACAGTTATGTAAAGAAATGAAAACTCGTAAACATCCTTGCTGGTAAGGTCCATATTGCTTGTCTAGCGTTGAGTTATATAAAAAGGCCAAGGCTTTTGATGAAAACTTGCTAATTCACTAGTACATTTTTTATGGATAGCTGATGTTGACAAATTACCAACTGCAAGGCACATTTTTAATGCGCTTATTTCAGTGGTATTTTACATGATGCACGTCATCTCTTGCCTTGTGTCAGTGTGTCACAAACCCAAAATGCAACATTATTAGTTCAAAAAAAGAGAGATATGATTCAACGTATTTTTCATCTCAAATAAAGAGTCCAGCTTCAGAAGTCAAGTTTATTTTTGAAATTAAATTCCTCTAAAGACATGTGGCAGGCGGTTTTAGCAATTACTCCAGACAATCTTGGAAGTAACACGTCTAATGGTATTCGTGACCATTCCTAACTTGTAAAAGCTTGCACTTTCATTGAGCTGACTAAAAAATGTTACCTTATTCAAGCTGCACTTTTTGGGATGGAGAGAAAGTATTATAATAATATAGATCCAAAAACAGCTTGGAATGTTACAGTTTTTTTGAAATTTAGAAAAATGTACTACTCTACTTAAATCCTAATGATACTAACTGACCTCTTCTCAAGAAATGTCTTTGCATTAGACACATTCTTCCCCATGGCTGAGGCCTTCCAAGAGAAGTATGATCCGGAGGGATCTACCTATATAAGATAATAAAAACTGAATGTTATAAAAAACTGCAAACTACTTAGACAGGAACTTACTTCCTCCAGCTTGGTTGAAGAATAAACCAAAACCAAAAACAAGAACCATATGATCATCACCATCATCAGCACCTTAATCCCAATTAGTTGTGATCCATGGCATTACACTTGAGAGTAAATTAATTGTATGCAACTAAGTAACACTAGAAATTCATGCCAAACACATAGTAACAATTTTTTGCACTGGTTACCTTTCCTGTCATATCCTTAGTAGTTAATATGAAGGAATAATGTCGTAGAAATTCTAAAAAATTATCATGGTTGGTTATTCCAAAATCCACATACACGGAAAATATCATATGACAGATTGACAGCTATGAGTTGAGATAATTACTATTTTCATGTTTCTTATATAATTGAAATTGTGAGACCAGATGCAAGTCATGGAACCAGACCATAAGTCAGGAAGATGGGACCTGATTGACAAGGATTACACATGGATAAAATACCTGATAGAGCTGGGGACCTTTATCATCGTACCCAGCAACCAAGAGAGAAACGCCGAATGGCCTTACACCACTGCCAGGAAAGTGCATCAGATATTAAATGGAATCCAACACGAATAAACAAGTAAGCAGGCAGGAACCTAAAAAGCTATGCATGCCCCAATCCTTGGAACATGGCAGGGGAGAGCAAGCGGCAGATCAACAATTTGATAATAAAAAATAGAAAAGTTATCGCACTAAACAACTACTACCTCTGTCCCGGTGGACTTTTCCAAGTGCAAAGTAGGTGAGAAATAAGAAAAGTAAAAAATGTGTGGTTGAAATTTGTGCAGAGGAGAGAGAAATGTGCAGAACCACAAATTAGTTGCTTTAATAGGAAAGTGGCGAAGTTTTTTGGACAACTAAAAAGGGAAAGTTGGCAAAGTCCAATGGGACGGAGGGAGTACTATCTAATAAAGTATTTGTAAAACAGATTTTTTTTTTAAGTCAACATTCAAAAAAAGATAAAGTATATCCTGTGATTAGTTGAGAGAATTATCTCTTGTGTGACTAAAAGAACGCTAGTTTCCTAACATATGACTTCAGTAGTTTTTGTTCCTAGTATACGAGGGTAAACGTATGCATGGTTTGATGGCCATCCACCGTCCCTTTAATTTGCTTTAATATGCACGACCGAAAGAAATAAATTATTAAGTCATGTTTTGGGAATTTATCTCTCTTTTGGACATATATTTGTATTTTTCCCTAATTAGTTACCCTGATTGAGTGAATTCCTGCATCACTGCTGCAGTTTCTCTCACAAGCTGTGTGACAGGGATTGGTTCCTGTGTAAAACAATTAACAGAGTGCATAAGTGGACTGAAATCAATTAAAGAACATCATCAAATGCTGCAAGCAGCTGGTGCCTAGAGTTTGAAATAAAAGGTTGTACCCAACTTCTTTTATACTTTGATTAAAAAATCTCCACATGCAATTTGTTGTTAAAAGGTTGTCGTGCACAAAAAAAAATTGTTCATAGAGTGTTACACTGGGGGATTTATAAGAAACTACTCGTACTTTATACAGCCGGTGATATTGTTCAGCTTGCTTCCTGCTTTTCCGAACCAAAACTCGAGAATCAGGTCCCATGCCACTGTAGAAGAGAAATAGATATCATTCAAGGGAGGCTCCGACACAGATAAGTACGGGAGATAACGAATAGAGTGAGATACCTTCCTACTAAACCAAACAGCCGAAAGCAGATCTAAAAATGCCTATATAGGCAATATTTGCATCGCTTAGAATAAGAGAGATGTACCCCCACCCAACCCCCTGTCCCCGCCAAAAAGCGAAGACAAAACAACTAGTTTCTAAGGCAAATTCTCTAAAGCATGACTCAAACCCCCACTCATGACTTATAACTTTGTTTTCCTTTTTTGGTTGTCTCAATAACTTTGTCACTTTCCTTTTTAACAATGAAGTTACGGTTCTTCTTAATTCTCTCTACTCTACACAAACCTCAATCACCCAATTTTTACTTTATTATTCTACATGCCAACCAACTTTTCAAAGTTACAAGGGATGGAGAGAGTACACAACTAGCAACAAATTGATCTCTAATAAGGCAAAAACATCACTTATTTGTTATCTCACATAGTAGACATGGAGTAGAAACTAGAAAGAACAGCGAATCATGTTTATGAGAAGAAGTTAGAAATATCAAGGATGGATGCAAAGCAGTTTAAATCCCAGTTATCATACCTGTATACAACTCCAATATTCGGAGTCAGGATCTGAATCTTTTGCACCTGTGATAAATAAATTTTAAGTATCAACATCCCCTTGTTATTTAAAGTACAGTGGTACATCCATATGTAGCACACATAACAAAATATGACAATGAAAGAAAAAGACGGCATATGTTGGAGGGGGTGGGTGCAGAGGTAAGTAAAGACTCATGCAGATGTGTATAACTAGAAACCTTGTCAAGGGATTGAGATAACATGACCAAAGAGCAATGTTTTGAAAGTACGAAAATATACTTACAGAAGTTTCATCAACCAAAATGGATGGTAGTTTCTTCTCAGTGGCAATAACGACACCATTAGAAGCTGCAATTGCCACAGCAGATGTAAGAATCACTTCTTATGGATATGCTACTAACATTTTGTTGCACGCATGGATACACTAAATAAACTAGCAGGATATATATGACATTTCAGCACAATGTGACTGGGAAAGGTCCATTTGACAACTTGTTACAGCACATCTCAGACCCTTTCGTGCAAACGCATGGAGGATAGATTAATTTAAGTCGATGGGGATGAAACCAGAGGGCTTATTCAAACCCGCACGGGTAGCTCAGTTGGTCGAGCGGTGGGAAAAATTGGACGTAGACCAAGGTTCGAATCCCGCAGCGGCCAAAAGGGGGGTTTTCAGAACCTGAAATAAGGCTGGCCCTCTGGTGCGCACGGGTAAAGGCCTACTTCCGCTTTGCCGACTGAGTCACCGTGATTTACTCCCCCACCATCCTGTCGGGTCGGGGTGGGGGGCCCTTGGGGTTGGGGATTCAACCTTTTGGACGCAGAGGGCTTATTCAAGACCTTGATGCCTGTTTATGTATGTTGTAAGTTGTAAGAGTTGGTGTATTGTGTTGCAAAAGGGACCACAGTGATAATCTATATAGGGTGGCCATCATATGAAATTTATATGATATTTTTCTGTATTTTGTAGCGTTTCGAACATTTTATATCTCGTTGGAATATATATATACACACACACATATATAGGGGAGTGTTCAAATAAAAAGTAGTGGTCCCGTGCAAAGTGAGAAGGGTTGCACTTTTCCCTCACCGCGTTGCACTATTGAATGATTCTGTTGCACTTTTCCGCGGTGGCAAAAAACTTCAGTTATTTACAAAATTGTCACTGCATTTTTTATCAAATCTAGTGCATTGTTGGCTCATTTTGAGCCATTAGATTTGTAAATTAATGCACAAGATTTATTCTCACTTTGCATGTGAAGACCTCCTCTTTGTATTTGAATCCTCCCCTATATATATGGGTGCTTAAAACATACTCCCTCTGTGCCTAATAACTTTGCCATGTTTGACCGGGTAAAAACTATGTGGTTGAGGTTTGTGCAGAGGAGAGAGAATGAACTGGAACCACAAACTCTTTACTTAAAAGGGAAAGTGGCAAAGTTAGTGGGACATCCAAAAAAGGAAAGTTGACAAAGTTATAAGGGACGGAGGGAGTATAATCTTGAGTAATTTACGGAGGTGCTGAGTATCTGTTCTAGTTACCAATTTGGAACCCCTGGTGTAAACTTACAGAAAATCTTCAAATGAATAACAGAATAAGTGATGTGCCTTGCTAACTTTTGAGAAATATAAATTACATGATTTAATGCCAAATGGTAACAAAACTCCCAAGTCCCAACTCAGAAGAGTATCATATTTCTTGAATTGAACATTTACAGAGCAAATAAAGATCTCTTGACTGCAGAACAAGTAATTTTTTTAGTGTCCAATGATAAATACTCACCACAATTAAATGAGAGGCAATCCTTACACCTAGGTGCATTGCTAACTATGAATGAAGATAATAGTAATAAATTACTCATTACCTTTTATCCCTAAAGATGTTTGGCCAGAAGCAACCGCAGTTAAGGCATGTTCAATCTGAACAAGTTTTCCAGAAGGGCTGTGTAGCAATAACTTATAATAAGAATTATACAAGAAGGGAAGAAAAGAATATAACCCATTTTTCAAGCATTCACCATATCAATATATTTTCTTTTTAGTTTTATGTCTGGTTTGTTGGTCTATACCTGAAAGTGGTAAGAGAGAATGAGTATTGACTGTCTCCCATGGAATATTTTGAAAAGTCACTATATGTTCTGCAAGCAAGTATACTCAAGTCAGAAATCAGGATTATATTATCACTTCTAACTACTCAGAGAGATACACTTTCATATAAATTCACTTTAGAAGAAAAGAGCAGCATACATATTGTGTCATGAATATTTTTATTGCCCAAAGTTTGAACCTTCTAGAATTTAGAGAAAAAATAAAAATAAAAAAGGTTTAGGCCATAGAGATCAGCAGAAGTTTTATCTGTAGTGTACCTTTGCTGTCCAAGGTGATAACGTCTTAGTTATTCCATAGATAAAATTCTGTGAATTGTTACAGTAATTCCAAATGTCCTTTCATTCTCTTAAGCAAATTTGAATTGTGCAGAAAGTCAGTAACTACGTTATATAGTGCTTATGATAAAATAAGAACAGTTAGTGATAATCGGACTAACCTCGGGATATTATAGTGCGTCCGACCTAAGGGGAAGAAGAGCTGTAAACGTAGAGAGCAAGATATAGCGTCAGACCGTCTGGCTGAGAGAGATGGTAGATCGGATGAATTGGTACCGAAGTCATTTCATTGGACTGGATCAAACAATTTGGGCCAATACCTTTAGCATGTGTTTTTCTATTTGGACTGGATCAAACACTTTGGGCCAACAACTTTAGATCATTTAATTAGGCAGATTTTAAATTGTACTACCACTTTCTTTTAAAAAAATTGTCAAAACTTTCCTTTTTTGGTAGTCCAACTAATTTTTTGAATTTTCCATTTTAATTAAATATTTGAGGTTAACTTTCCTGTTAATTCTCTTTCCTCTACACAAAACTTAATCACTTTGTTTTAAGATGGTTATTCCATTTTTCATGCATGTCAAACTTGTCAAATTTTAAGATGGAGTATTCTTGTAGTACTCATTTGAAGACATTGAAATCGATTTAATGGATTGAATCTATTGAAACTGAATTGAATCAATGAGTTCACTAATTTGTCGATTTGCGGATTTATTATATTTAAAAAATAATTTTCATGATTAATAATAATAATAATAAAAATAATAAAAAAATAGACACGTCTAGTTGGTATCAGAGAAACTTTGATGGTTTGACTACATGATTTTGAAGTATGAAGATTTGATTAACTCTTTCTTATACCGAAAGACAACAGATTTAATAAATTTCCCTATAAAATTGAAGTTATAAATTAAATGTGTTCTTCCATTACACATATGAACACTATTCCAATGAAATTGTTTTATAGGACTCAGGCGAGACTGCGAGAGTATACGATAAGTTATGGGCCAGCTTAATATTTTGAATTGCTCAATGAAAAGCATACATAGTACTTCATAACTCATAAGGCCATTTGTAGTGAAATTAGTGATTAGGAGTCTAAAAACTCATATAGCAACTCTGCCGATACAAAAATCAGTGTATAAGCTCCGTCAATAAGTTTTTTTCCCACATTCCAACATCGTCAATATAATACACTTTACATTTTTTTGCATATCAGTTTAATAAAACATTAATAAAGTACACTTTACACTTTACACCGTAATATTTTTCTTTAATTTTATTTCTGAAGAGTTATGAAATTGAAAAATACACATTTCGATGTTACAAAATAAACAATTTCCTTATTTTTTTTACCTTTTTTCATTTTAATAAAAAAGTAAAATGAGTTCATGTAATATTCAGTTATTTGTGGAGACCCCGTGAATAAAAAATTTGTGTTTATGTTTTTTAGGCCTAAGCAACTCTAGCAGATGAAATTTCAAATTTTTTAAAAAAAATTATACATACAATAATGATGTCATATGAAAGATCGTAAAAATTTATGAATTTTAATATATTTAAAAAATGGATCACAAATAAAAAAGTTAGTCTTTTCAAAAAAGAGGTATTTTTTCGTAGGGATGACGTTCATCATGACGTCACCTGTGTGACAACAGCCACAAGTAGTCTTCTTTCTTCCCCTTTTTCTTTTACTTTTGGGCTGTCTAAATCTTCTCTATTTTTTAAACTCTCCCACTCCCCTTTTCATTTTAAACCCCATTTTACTACTTCGATGTCAGACCATTCGTAGTGGTGAGGAGGTCAAAATGTCAAAAATGAACTCTGTCCAAATGAAAACAGTGTTTAGACTCCAATTTTCATGCATTCCAGCACTGTCAACAAAATACATTCAGCATATCTTTTTACATATCAAGTTAATAAAATATTAATTAAATTATTATAAGTAATATTTTCCTTTTATTTTTTTCACTAATAATTGTGTAATAAAAAATACACCTTTCGATGTAAAAATAAATAAATTTCATTATTTTTTTACGTTTTTCGGTTAACAAAAAATGAACTTAGTACCAGTAAAGTTTGATTATGGAATATTCAGTTATTTGTGGAGGCTCCATGAATTAAAAATTTGTGTTTTGTGTTATTTTTCAGACTTAACAAAATTCCAATAGTTAAAACTTTAGATTTTTTTCATTTTATATATTAAATATTGGTGTCACATTAAATATCATAAAAAAATGGAAATTTTGATATATTGTTTGAAAAAGTTAAAAAACAGAAAAACTTATAAGAGTTTTTAAAGAAATTGGGATCATAATAACAACTCACCTTTATTTTCCTTTTCTTTTTCTCATTCCTACCAACCCACTCTCTATTTCTAACACCTTCTAAGCATCTACTTCCTTTCCCACTTTTAATACCCTATTTAGCATACCACAGTAAGAAATTAGGAGTCCAAAAATTACATTTTTAACATTTTGAACTTCTAATACTACATCACCTCAATTCAAATGGTCTAAGCAAACAGGAGTCCAAAAACTCCACATTTAGCTTTTTGGACTCCTGAAACCTTCCATTACAAATGGTCTAAGTCCATAATATAATGAACTCCTCAATTATAAGACCTTGAACAAATACATTTTTCATCTCAAATGAAATGAGGTAGTCCTTATTTTCACAAACGTGTTCTTAGAAGTAAGAAAATTAGCGCACCGCTACTAAAAATAATATGTGCCTTCAATTCACAGATAGAAGGATAAGTTAAAAACAAAACGTCATTATTGGAGTTAAACTCAGATCAAAAATTTTGGACATCGAAAAATGTGTAAATTTCTACTCAATGGAATATAGCGAGTATTTATCTGGCTTTTTCCTTGAAGGCCATCAATGAGTCAATATCCGATATAGGGTACGGTGGAGTTTAAAAGAAAGACCCATGCCTCTTTGATTAAAATTTTAATGTATTGAAATAAATTTTTATGACAATTGACAAGGATGGAACATCAATTATTTCCTTCCATATAATTACTCCCACCGTCCCGCTAACAATGAGACAAGAGGGAGCGACACGCAAATCAATAAAAAGTGGTTTATGTGGTTGATATTGAATTGATAAAGTAATAATAAAGTAAGAATGATTTAGAGTCACACAACTTTGCCAAATTTGGTATGGTACAATTTTAGTGAGACTGACCAATAAGGTAAACGGGACAATCATAGTGGGACGGGGTAGTATTATAGAACCTGATTGGAGGAGTGAAGAAGCCGAGTATGGAACTAAAGTCAATTTTGATGGAGCATTTGCTAAGAAGATGAGAGCAGTGAGCATTGGAATCGATGTTATGAAAAATAATCCAGTACAAGTATTTTGAGTAGACAACATTATATTTTATACTTTATTTAAATGGATATACATATTTCTTCTTTCAGATTTCCGGTGAACAAAAAACATGTTAAAACAGTTCTCTGTAAAAGAGCCCATCAATTGTGAGGCCCAAAGTTGTTTATGTTTGGTCGTATATACGTGTATAATCAGTAGTACGATGCATGTAAAGTATAATATCAAGTGTCCAGAAAATAAAAAATGTCATTGCTATATTGTCTAAATTTCGTGTATATATAATTCCAAGTATATTTTAAACTTTACAAATCTGTTTATTTTTTACTATATATGAAGTATATTGTAAATTTTTCATTCATTTATAATATAAGGGCCCTATGGTAACATTTTAGAGTCACTCAAAATTATTAGACAACAAATTTACAGTAAACAATCATCTCTAGGAAGCAACAATTTGCTTATTCTTGAAATACGTTGATGGCTGGTGTTATTCCGAATTGAAAGGTATATATAATGGAGCAAATCGTTTTAGTTTTGATACTACGTATGTCTTGTGTTTCAATGTTAAAAAATAATACGAAATACTTCATATATATACCTTTAAATTAACATTACAAGTTTGTGCAAGAAAAAATATTCTTTAATTCATCCATCTATTTGAAAGCAGATTGAAGCATTACAAGTTTTTTTGTGAAGACATTGTCAAATTACTATGGCATGATGTCATTTTAGAAAATGGCATTTTACTTTACATTCAAGTCAAAATATTTTCCTAAGCAAATCATTCAAATGAATGGTCCACCTCATCATAAGTTTGACATAGACCTTTGAGTGAACCATTTCTTGCCCAATATTTTCGGGACTTCTCTAAATCAACCGTTCAACCTTTTATATATCGAAAATGTTTTGTGTACACCTTTTGTATATTCATATGTCTCACGCACGTAGAATTGTATGTCCACGTACAACTCTGTAGAATCGTCTGTGGAAAGACAATTTTTTGTGCGTGAGACATATGAGTATACAAAAGGTGTACACATTTTTGTGTACACCTAGCACACATCTATTTATATATAAAATGTCCCAAGTTCCAAACTTTACGGTGTAATGGTGAAACGTTAATTATCGAGACCGTTTGTGAAAGAAAACATTGAAAAGGTAGAAATGGTAGACCATTGTTGATATAGTTGATCGAGTCAAAATCTAATGTTCCAGAAAACATGCAGGCCCTGTTTGGTAACGGTTGTACTGGTTGAAATGGCTGAAAATACTGAAAAGACTGAATTTGCTGAAGTGAAAGTGTTTGGTTTTATGTTGACTGAAATAGCTGACTGAAAGTAAAATTACCGTAAAGGATATTAAATTGGTATATATGCTACTGCTTTCCTTAATTGTTGTGTCCTTCAAATTGTTGTGCATCTTTTCTTCGTGAAAACACACACCCAAATATCCAATGTACATCTGTGAAAAATGGCCAAATTTTTCTTAACCCACTTTTGAAACCTTTCTGGTTTCCAATACTAAAAACGGTTTTTTTAAGAGAAAAGAAACTCAGACCAAATTTCACCAAATTTCTACAACCTAGAATCAAGAGCTTTTAAAAATCAGATCAATTTAAAACAAAAACAAAAAAATCATATATGAAAGCCATTTGAGAGGAAAAAGTCTGATATGTAATGATTCAAAGCCAAATCCAAGAGATATTATGCACAAGAAGAACGAACACTGCCTCAAATGAATAAAAAAATCTTGAAATTGAGTTTTCCTCATCCAAAAAGAAGAAAACGCAGATTAATAGATGCCAAAAAGAAAGTGAGCAAGCTAGATTTCATCCGAAGGGCTTGGGGTCACGAGCTAAAGGCAGTCTTCCGTTGTGGGGGTAAAGGGTCTTTGCTATTGCTAATAGTAGAATATGTAGTGATAAATATCAACCTAAAAAGTAGCTA